TGTCTCAAAAATAAATAAATAAAAAAAAATTTTAAAAAAATTGACTGGCTTAAAAAGAATAAATTAAATTAAAAATACAAAGCCAGCTTTAGGAGAAGTCCTCCCAGGTGACCAGAGGGCAGTGAGGGTCGGGGTTGTGTATGGCCAGCTTCCCCAGCTTGCTCAGACCCTTCTCTGTCCTCTTTTTTTTTTTTTTTTGGTGCAGTTTTTGGCCAGGGCTGGGTTTGAAGCTGCCACCTCTGGCATATGGGGCCCGCGCCCTACTCCTTTGAGCCACAGGCACCGCCCCCTTCTCTGTCCTCTCTTCTGTCCAGGTCCCCCCAGTGAACCCACCCACCTGGCAGTGGAGGATGTCTCTGACACTACTGTCTCCCTCAAGTGGCGGCCCCCAGAGCGCGAGGGAGCGGGAGGCCTGGATGGCTATAGTGTGGAGTACTGCAGGGAGGGCTGTGAGTGCCCCACTGGCCTGGCCTGGAGCACCAGAGGGGTGGGCGGGGGGATGGGTATTGATGCTGACTTGGCCTGTGACCTTGCCTCCCTTGTCCCCACACCCAGGCTCGGAATGGGTGGCTGCCCTGCAGGGGCTGACAGAGCGCACATCGATGCTGGTGAAGGACCTGCCCACAGGGGCCCGGCTGCTCTTCCGAGTGCGGGCACACAATGTGGCAGGGCCTGGAGGCCCAGTTACCACCCAGGAGCCAGTGACGGTGCAGGAAATACTGCGTGAGTTTCTCACATGCAGTCACAAGACCTGCCACTGACACCCAAGCTGGTGTCCAGTGGTGGTGGGATAGTCAGGGAAGCCCTCATCTGTTCCCTGGGCTCAGGGCACAGGTGCAGAGGGCTTTCTTGGTTTTTCTGTTAGCCCCCCAGTTCTAGAACAGGGAAAAAACAGGCCAGTCTCCAAGCTCTGTTCTGTTGAGTCTTTCAGCTCTAACACATAGGTATTGCCTTTGTCAATAGGTCTGAGCAGTGATGCCACATGGGGTCACACTGGTCTCTTTCTCTTCCTTATCCCAATAAAGGGACAGTCATGTAAGAGTCAGAAAGAGGCAGCAAACTGCAGTGGGGAACAGCACAGGGCATCTAGGTGTACATTCTGGCCAGTGATTTATAGCTGTGTGACCTCAAACAAGTTGTTTACCCTCTCTGACCCCTGCCTCTTGAGGTAGTGTGGAGAGGCTCCAGTAGAAGCAGGAACTTTGTAAACCATTTGGGACTGGCTGGGGCTGGAGGTGCTGTGGGTTAGGGGAGCTGCAGCTCTCTAGGCCCTGTCTCAAGACAGGATGGCACTGTGGCACTCCTTAGAGGTAGCTCCTGCTTAGCCACTCACTCTGCACCCACAGAAAGGCCCCGGCTCCAGCTGCCTCGGCACCTGCGCCAGACCATCCAGAGGAAGGTTGGAGAGCCTGTAAACCTCCTCATTCCTTTCCAGGTAGGGCTGGCCCCCTCCCTGTTCACACCCAGCCCATGGAAGTGTCTCAGGGCTAAGGCCTCAGAGGCCAGGGTTCCAGGCCTGGGATTAAGTTGTCCCTCCTCTCAGGGCAAGCCCCGGCCACAGGTGACCTGGACCAAAGATGGGCAGCCCCTGGCAGGTGAGGAGGTGAGCATCCGCAACAGCCCCACGGACACCATCCTCTTCATCCGGGCTGCTCGCCGTGTCCACTCAGGCACTTACCAGGTGACAGTACGCATTGAGAACATGGAGGACAAGGCCACACTGGTCCTGCAGATCGTTGGTGCGTGCCCTGAGGCCTCCCTCTGTGACCATTAGTGTCTTATCCCTCAGCGGGGTTGCCAGACCCAGGGCCAAGATCAGACACCCCGATCTTTGCCAGAAGGTGGCAAACCAGGTCCAGGTTGGCAGGGATGAGGAGCCCCTGGAGCCTGGTGTCCCTGCCTTGACACAGGCAATGTCGGGAGGCATGCTGATCTGACCAGGTCTGTCTCCTGCAGATAAGCCAAGCTCTCCCCAGAATATCCGGGTCACTGAGGCTTGGGGTTTTAATGTGGCTCTGGAGTGGAAGCCACCCCAAGATGATGGCAACACAGAGATCTGGGGTTATACAGTCCAGAAAGCTGACAAGAAGACCATGGTGAGCCTAGGGTCCTGGGTCCCTCACATAACCTTCCCTACACCCAGCTGACCTGGGTCCAATCTGTTCTTCCCATAGGCCCACCTCACCCCTCCTCTGCTGACCTCCCTAGTGGGCAGAGATACACCACTGGCACCAAAGAGAGGCCCCAGGCAGGGGAAGAGGTGTGGCCCTCTGAAATCCCTCCCTTCCTTCACATCCCCCAGGAGTGGTTCACAGTCTTGGAACATTACCGCCGCACCCACTGTGTGGTGTCCGAGCTCATTATTGGTAATGGCTACTACTTCCGGGTCTTCAGCCATAACATGGTTGGTCCTAGTGACAGAGCTGCCACCACCAAGGATCCTGTCTTTATACCCAGACCAGGTGCTGTACTCTCACCCAGAGGGAGTGGGGCAGGGGGGCAGTGCAAACAGGAAAAGAAGCCTAGCTTGGTGTGGGCCTCTGGATTCCAAGTCCTTTCACCAACAGGCATCACATATGAGCCACCCAACTATGAGGCCCTGGACTTCTCGGAGGCCCCAAGCTTCACCCACCCCCTGGTGAATCGCTCAGTCATTGCAGGTTACACTGCTGTCCTCTGCTGCGCAGTCCGGGGTAACCCCAAGGTAGGGAACCTTAGGCCCTGGTATAGGCTGACCAGAGGCAGGGCTCATAGGCCCTAACCTCAAGGCTCAGTCTCTCCTCAGCCTATCTCTCCCTGCTTTCTTTCCACCTCGGGGTATCTGGACCAGGTTCCTCTCATGAACAGGGCCTTGGTGCTCACTGTGGGCTCCATCTTCACACATAGCGTTGAGCATGGTTTGGGACTCCAGTGGGAAACCCCAAAGTGGAAACAAATCCCAGTTTCTTTGCATCCCTGCCAGGTCCCCTCTCAACCTGGATAGTTTCCTTCTCTCTGTTTACCTCATTTGTAGCCCAAGATTTCCTGGTTCAAGAATGGCCTGGACCTGGGAAAAGATGCCCGTTTCCGCATGTTCAGCAAGCAGGGAGTGTTGACATTGGAGATTAGAAAGCCTTGCCCCTTTGATGGGGGTATCTATGTCTGCAAGGCCACCAACCTTCAGGGTGAGGCCCAGTGTGAGTGCCGCCTGGAAGTGCGAGGTGAGGAATTTGCTGGGTCAGGGCTGGGGTGTGAAGAAAGCAGGGCAGCAGTAGGGTCTCTGGACTCTGCTCTACTGTCCTGGCCCAAGTAGCTGCTCTGGCTGCAAGGACACTGACCCTGTCATGTCCGGCTGGGTAGTGGCTTCTGGGATGGGTTCAGGTACTAGCTTCCTGGCATGGCCTCCTTCTTTCCTATAGTGCCTCAGTGAGCAGGCTGGCTCCCCAGGGATGGCCAGGTATGTACCCCAGACCATCTTGACACACAGAGACCCAGTCAGAGACTAAGTCCTAGCCCTTGCTAGGATCAGCCATCAGGAAAGGGGAGGGTACAAGTGGACTCAGTTAACTTATAGGGGAACCTGTGTCTCAGGTACAACCAGATGCCAACCCTATATGCCAGGAACCTGGAGGGAAGCTGAAGCCCCTTCCTGCTATCAGATGTGTGTGCACAAGTATCTCCTGGGCTACGGTGGGGAAGGAACCAGTGGGCAGCAGTTGTAACGGGACACTGGGGGATGCTGCACACTGGTCCTCAAGGCTCCTGTGGAAGCTCCTGGGTCTCTGGGGCCAAATGGGGGTGGGCTCAGAAAATAATGAGTGGGAAAGGCCCTTCTGGCCTGCCATGTCTTCCTAATGTATAAGGGCAATAAAAGATCAGTGAGGTGACAGAATTCACTCTTCTTACCCAATTCCAATGTGCTTATTTCTATAAAAAAGCACAGGGACATTTACTTGCATCTTCACAGCAAACTAGGGCTGGCATGTTTTGCGATGATAAAACAAGGTCCAGAGTGGACTCCTAAGCTCACAAAGCATCAACACTAGAAGGAACTTCAGTCTTCCCCCCCTGCATTCACTCCATGAGTGAGGCAACTGCAGAGCAGGGACAGAGGAAAGTGTGTTAGCAACACAGCCAGAAAGCTGAGGTGCTCCTGCCTGGTCCCAGGTGCTCAGATGATCCCCGAGAGCCACGGTCACAGTGGCCTGGGGTGGGGCTGAATCTTGGTATTATGATTGTGAATCCATAGACCTGGAATAGAGCTGTGCTGTGTTGCTTTGGGATCTCCTTGAGTAACAACCCCACAGCCCATCCACCCCTGTGTCTTAGGTGGGAGAAAACAATTCTGTCTTGCTCAGGACATTGCAAACCAGAAAGGCAGAAGGGCCAGGGCCCTGCTCTGCTCTTACCTTCCTTCAGGGAACCTAAACCCAATTGTCAATCTCCTTTTGGGAGGAGGAATCCGGCAGATCTCAGAGGTTTCCTGACTGTGATGTATGGATCACCAGGCTTCCTATGGCATAGAAATTCCATGAAGGTTGGTCCTACATTGCTATTTAAGAGTTCTACCCAATCAATGGAAGACACTCCAAGCCCAAACTCTGGGTTTCAGCCCCTGTGGGAGGCCTTGGTTGAGTGACAGCATCTCCCTGGACTACACATAACCTGTACAGGGAATGGAGAAGGCCAAGCCGTGGATTTGTTTTCACTGCTAAATTCATCTCTGTTCAAGTTATCAACACCCAGTCTGGTTGCTCCCTCTAGTGGCCAGTTCACAGCACTCAGCCCTCTGCAGGGCCCCCAGGAACTAGCTGCAGGGAAGGAGAGGTCCCTCTCACAGCCTCTTCCTGGAAGCCCAGGAAGCCCAGAAAGTGGTAGGCAGGAGGGCCTGGATGTGGGTGAACGCATCTCCTTTCATCCTTCAAGCCAGAGGTGCCTTGCTGGAGTCCAGGGATAGCCTTCCTCAGGCCTGGGCTAAGAGGAGGCATCATTAATAATACAAGGCAGCCAAGGAGCCCAAGAGGAGTCAAGGACATTTATTTCACATTCACACAGCTGTACATTTTCTATAAATAATGTGGAGCTGAAATATTTACAATCATCTCTTGCACACCCCCAGGCTATGTCTCCCTTCTGATACCCAGTGCCAGGAGATAGGCCCGCTGCCTGTAGACACAGGTATATATACTGAACTTGGCCTCTTCCCACCCCTCCCTGATTTTTGAGCAGAGCAGCCAGCAGTTCCCAGGACTCTCCTAGCCCCAACCACTCTGTCCTCTCACGCTGAAGGCATGGCAGGCCACAGGGAATGGCTACTCTGCTGCAGGGATAAAGGCCACGGCAGCAAAGCAGTAGCTGCCAGGCGGAAACTGCATAAGGAAGTAGGGAGGCTGCCACTCACTCCAGCTTCCCCTGACTCTTCCCTTCCTTTTACTGCCTGTCCCTTTTCTGGGAGGCAGGCCCCAAGTTCCCCTCACTCCCCACAGAGTAGAATTCTCCAGCTGGCCAGTTGTATTGGATCACAGAGGATGGAGAGCCAGATTCCTGCATTGGAAGGTTATAATGCCAAGACAAGGAACCACAACACAAATGTCTCAAGGACACACAGTAGTGGGTTCACACTGGCGCGCACATGCGCACACACACACAAGCGCACACACACACTTGAGGGGAAGGTAGTTTGGTCTTCTGGGAGAGGAGAGGGAGAAGGTGGAAGGGTCTAGCTTAGCCTTGCAACAGACACATTCAAAGACACACTCAGAGATGTGTAACTGGTAACCAACTTTGCAGAGAACACACATGCATCATCCACTCCTCAGTCACAGCAGCTTTGTGCACTTGGGAATAGCAAGAGGCAAGAGGTGTCCCCTGGGCTGGGGAAGCTGCTTAACCTCTCTCCCTCCATCAGCTAGAGACAGGCCGGGGTGGGGTTCTGAGGTCTTCCTCACTACTGCGAACTGCAGCCACATACGAGAAGAGACACAACACAGAGTAGCAGATCTCATGGGCCTAGGGGGGAAAGAAAACCAGACAGATCAGCAAGACTAAAATCCTTATGTCTTCACATGTGGAGGGTCTGCCAAGCGGGCACCTCCTGTCCTAACGCTGGGCCTCCACACAAGACCTCAGAAGCTGTCCCAGTGGGAGAGGGGATTAATGTGTGTGCATCCGTCTCCTAAGCTGAAGCTATGTTTTGGTTTCAGTTGGATCTCTGGCATCTAGACCAAGTCCCCTTTCGCCCCTGTGTACTCAGAGGGCCCTCCCTTCTACCTGCCTGAAGTTCCCCAGGGAGCCCTGTGCAGACTTTGGCATACTCAGGGTTGGATGGCATACTCACCATTGGTGTCTTGTACTTGTGGCTCACCACTTCTTTAATTTCAGGAACTAAAACCGGACGGGCAAGAGACAAAACAGAAAGTTCAAAACTAAAAGCAACAGTGCCATGCTCCCCCAGGCGGCAGCGCCTGGTACCAGGGTCCCCTTTCCCTCTGTGGCCTCTCACAGTGGCTGTAGCAGCTTAGGCTACGACAGGGCAGAGGCCACCAAGGCTCTATCCAGACTCCTCAGTGAGACCTCTGCAGTCTGCTATGGCTTTTTACTTGATGGCTGTGGTTCTACCCACTTTGACAGCCCCTAGGATGGAAGGGGGCTGGCCTTTCACTGGCCTGGTCACAGCTATTCTCCAGGGTCCCTGAGGAGTTCCAGTAGAGAATTCCCAGATTTTAGCTGGGAAAAGAGAGTTGTTTCTAGCCTATGCCCAGTCTTGCTGACACACCTGTGAACTAATCCGTCACCAGCCAGGTAATGTTAAACAGTTCCCTTTACACCCAGCCACATACACAGAGGGTCCTGAGGCTGGATGAAGAAGTAACATAACACTAAACCCATCAGACTTGGAAGTGTCCTCCCCTGAGTGGCAGGAGAAGCCCAGGCCTGCCTGTGTGAGGGAGAGCGTCAGAGGGCTCTGGAGCAGACACACTGAGCAGAAGACAGGCGAGTACAGCACCCAGGGAGGGAGGTGACAGGGGGCATCAGGCAGAATATACACACATGTCCACAGCCCAGAGTGCATGGTAAGAGTCACCCTGCCCCAGCCATGCAGGGGTTCTGCTTGGCCAGAGGAAGGAGTAGGGCCCCCAGCATCAGCCGCTGACACGGCTTCTTGAGACTGGGAGCAAAGGGTCATGGCATCCCCTTGGGGGCCAGAAAAGGCAGGATGAGAACCGGCCATACCTTCTTCTGACCCTGGGAGGTAGAATTCAGGGGAACCCAGCATTAGCAGGGAATAAACTCATCAAAGGTAGAGCAAGAAGCCCCAGGTCATTCTCTTGAGTTGGAAGATTCCCTCAAATATCTCTCTGGCAGAAGAGAAGGGAGCACACAGGGCAGAAAACTCAAAACCAGTGAGCCAGCAGGAGGGTGGAGGCAAGAAGTTGGGAAGGAAGAGGGTGGGGAGAGAAAGGAAGAAAAGACTTGGCAATGTGAACAGCTGTTTTAAAGGGAGCCCGCCCACCCACTGCAAGGCCCAAGGCAGGGACCTGGGGAGAGGCAGCACGAGCCCAGCCGAGCAGAGGTCACTTTACCTGCTGGAGAACGAAGGTTTTCATAGCAGCGATGAGGGGCACAAAAGAATGAAGCACAAACACAGCAGGAACTCAAAGCCCCAGGGTGAGAACCACTATACCACTCCTGAGTGCTAGCTGGGGGAGGCTGGCTCCTGGCTACAACTGCACCTTCTACCTCTGAGGCCCACTAGACTTCTCTGCCCCTTGAGTGAGAGTCTGCCTGCGATGTCCCCTCTCTAACTCAGAGGCCAGGTGGAGACCAGAGTGGTGCCAGGGAGGCTGGGTGGAGCACTGGATTGCTAGAGAGATCATAGCAGGCCACATGGACATAGCAGAGCTTGGAGGTCACCGTCTGCTCTGCCCTAGAACTTTCTGACCACCTGCCAACCATGGGAAGGTGGCACTACTTCACTGAGCCTCTTTAGTACCATCTCTAAACTCGTCTTAAGGTTACTTGTTCTTGTGAGACCCATTATCTATCTTTTTCTTCTCCTTCCCTTTTCTCACCTTAGGGCTCCCTTTTCTTCCCTGTCACTCATGCTCCTTCTGACCTCTCGCAGAGGTTCTTCTCTCTGACCCTAGACCCTCCTCTGGAGCTCCGAGGTTTGAGTTACTGCCATGTGAGTCCAGACCTAAGAGCAAAATAGTGTAATTACCAAATTCCTCCAGGACAAAGACGCCTCGAACTGTATTGCACTTTTTAATGTGATTCAGCTCTATGAAAACCTGCAAGAGAGGGAGGGAGGGTGGGGTAAGGCCCAGAGGCTCCACCCCTGCCCCACAAAGCACATTCTCCCAGCTACAGCCCCACCCACACGCAGAAAACCTATTTCCCAAAAGGAGGACAGAAGAAACCACACACACACAACTCAAAAGCGCTAAGAAGCGAAGATAGCAGAAAGGGCATGTACCTTCCGCTCCTGGCCGGAGGAGAAAGCATGGGAGAGAAATGAAGGCGTTAGTTTTAATGGTCAAACCCAACCCAAAGGCCCCTCTGCTGGCCTGGGCTACCTGCCATACCCTCTGCCTAGGGCAGCATTCATAGAGGACACTGTGCCCAGGAGCCCCCCCACTCAGCCCCTCAGGTCTCTACCCTTCCATGCATCCTCCTCCGGCGCAGAGGGCTGGCACAGGTGCAAAGCTCCCCTCAGACTGTGCTTAGGTGGGAGGTGTTGGTATCCTCCTTGAAATGGGATCCAGATCTCCCAAGAAGTATGTAGTGATAACAATAACGGCTACCACGTGCTGAACACCGACTTGGGAGTTTTACAAACCTTGCTTCTAATCCTTACACCTAGGTGGCACAGTGCATGTATATGTATTATCCCCACTTTATAGATGAGGAAACTGAGGATCAGAAAGTTTATTTGCCCATGAATATTGAAGTTGGGGTTCAAATCCACGCACGTTCTGACTCCAAAGTCTGTGCTTCCAGTTAGTCTGGACTCCATAATTCCATTAGGAGACTACAACTGATTACTGAGTGGTAGAAGATGGACCAAAGGCCAGTATTTCCTCATCAGACTACGATGTGAGGCTCTCTCTTCTAAGGGTCAAGCCTTCAACTGTGAACCCGTCTGTACATGCTTTGTAATTGTGAGACAATTAGGTGGGCCCAGAGGGGCTGCACCAAGGCAGCACAAGGAAGAGGGCAGAGCATCTGGGCATTGTTTAGCAAGATCTCATCTTCAATAGAGGCCACAGCACTAAAAAGTGCTGGCACCTTCATGGTCCAGGAAAGTACTTTGGCAACCCCCTCTTTGGGCTGGCCCTAAGGTATTTAGGGGCTTGCTGCTACCTAAGCCCTAGGCTGAAAATAGACTAAGGGGCTGCCAGGAAGCCTGGGCAGCTGCTTCCTGTTACACCAAAGCTGCTCAACTAGTCTGAAAGAAAGAGAACTAAAATGGCAAATGGAGGGAGAAAGCCACAGTCAGAGTCAAACGTCCACCTCCCCTGAGCTGTCTGCTGCCTGGCCAGAGGTTGTGGGGCTCCACACATTCACATCTGGCTCAGAGCCTCAGGGAGAGGAACCAGTACATTGGGGAAGGGGAAGGGAAGGCACTTGTGTGAAGAGTCAAGCTGTGAACGGACCTGGGATGATGCGCTGGCCTCAGAAAGGAATTAGCTTAAGGGATGTCCACTGAGAGAAAAAGTAACACTGTGTTAAAAGACCAAGAGAAAAAAAAAGTCAGCTCCTATGATGGAATCACAATGAGGGAAAGATGTATCCAGAAGTTCTACCCACTCAAAAGAAGGGGAATGGGGCCTGTGGATCAGGGGACAGAGTGGGAATACTCAAAGGAAGTAAAAGAACAGGAAAAAGAATCAGCAGGAGAAAAAGGCAAATAAACATAGACACTCCAGAGGATAGATACAAGCCTACTTACACATGTGTACACGCACATGCACGCACACACACACACACGCACACACACAAGCTTCAAGCGCACCAGAAATATGCAAGGAGACCAGCCAGTCTAGACTCTCAAAGCAAAACCACTGAGCAAAAGCACACCCTGGGAATAAAGGGAGGCAGAGACACTGCGAAGAAGGGCCAAGTGAGACGCTCCCACTCACACTGTGTGGAGTCTAACAGATAGGGCGGCATGGCTGCCAAGTCTCACTCTCTTTCCCAGCCTCCCCACAGGCTCCCTGCTGCATCTTCATGGCACCTGGTGGTCACCAACATCACTGTACCCTCCCCTGTGATTTTCCTCCTGAGTCCAGCTGCTCCAGTTCTCCCTCTAGCTTCAGAGGCTCTCTCTCATGCTTACTGGGAAAGCACCAGGGGCCTGGGCACTTATCTTTATTACAGATGGAACACTTGTGCTGCTGCACCTACCTGGTTGTGCATAAACTTGAGATTGATCCCTTCCAGGGTGACCTGCAGCAAGCCACCCTCCCCAGTCTTCATGTCCTGCACAGGGAACTCGCCACCCAGTTCAGGTCCTATGTGAGGGAGGAGGTTATCAGCTAACTGGTGAGGTGGGAGGCCCCACAACCTGGCTTCTTTGTCAGGCTTCTGACATGCAGGAGGACTGGTGAACACAAAAGAACACTCTCTTAGAGAACCCTTCTCTTCTCACCGGGTTTGATGCTTTGCTGTCGGGCGGCAGCACGCTCCATGCTGTCTTTCACACAGTAGTACAGTTCCCGACACTGTGGCACAGGGGAGAGACAGCTGTGTTGTCATGTAAGCTAGCCAGGGACCCCTAAACCTCTGCTCTGTAATGGCCACTGAAGGCTTGGGCTGATGCAGGGACGTCAGAGACAGCTTGAGGTATCCCACACAATAGCTGGAGACAAAAGCATGCCTCCAGACATGGATTTGGGAATCTTAACTTCCCAGTGAGGAACTCAATGCTTGGCCCTCAACACCTACCCCTCCCTTAGTTTGAACAGAGATCCTGGGTACCTTTTTAGTATAGAACTTGTTGAGCTGGGTCTCAGAGCCATTTCTACGCCATAAGCACAACACCTTGGTCTTGGGACAGTAGGTCATGTTGATGAGCTTCTCGTACCACCAGCGCTCATACACTGTCCCGATGTTACTGCGCAACACTACACAGTCATCACACACCTGGAGAGTGCACAGAGCAGTTCAAGGCTTTGTCTCCAATAGCCTGGTAGAGACCACACCGTACTGCTCCCCAGAGAGAAAGGATGGGACAGCTGGTCCTGGGAGCATCCCCATGGCCTGGTTTTTTGCCTGGTACTCATAGTCTCCCTAGGTGGAGACACAAACACAGACTACTGGACATACTGTTTGCTACAAGGATACAGAAAGAAACACAGTTACTAAAAATAAAGCTGTGTGTAGGAAGGAGGCTGATTTCTCAAATAGGTGTTTATTACCTCTTATGCGTTCCAAAGACTTTTTTCTTTTTTTTTTCTCTTAACATATTTTTTATTAAATCATAACTATACATTAATGCATTTATGGGGTACAATGTGCTGATTTTATATACAATTTGGAATGCTTACATCAAGCTGGTTAACACAGCCTTCACTTCACTTACTTAATTATTGTGTTAAGACATTTATACTCAGCTTGGCACCTGTAGCACAGTGGTTACGGTGCCAGACACATACAGGCTGGCAGATCAAAACTGGCCTGGGTCAGCTGAGGCAATAATGACAACTGCAACAAAAAATAGCTGGGCGTTGTGGTGGGCGCCTATAGTCTCAGCTACTTGGGAGGCTGAGGCAAGAGAATCGCTTACCCCTAAGAGTTTGAGGTTGCTGTGAGCTTTGATGCCACAGCACTCTACTGAGGGCAACATAGTGAGACCCTGTATCCCCCTCCCCAAAAAGGACATTTATACTCTACTCTTAATAGATCTGACTTGTACCCATGCAATATGCAACATTAGTGTTCCAAAGACTTAAAGTACTCAGAGTATATCTCATGCCTCCTTCTTACAATCTTAGGAATCATTGCTTTTGATAGCCACAAAGATAGGGGATGATGGCAGACTTAACCAAGGAGAAAAAAATGGAGCCAATGCATTTTCTAATCCTTTTTCTATGAAAAAAAATTTTTTAAATTATACAAGTGACACATGAACAGTGCTTATTGCATCAAAATTATATAATACAGAGTAATGTAAATTTTAAAAAAACAAAGTCTTTTTCACACCCTCTTCTTTTTCAATATTATCTCACAGGTGAACTTACCAATTCTTATGGCTTCAATTATTATGGGAGATATTAAAGCACAATGGTTAAGGGCACAGATCTAAGACCAGATGGCTTTAGATTCCAGTCCTACCATTGCTTAGATGTATCACCTTGAGCATGTTCATTTGTGCCTACATTTACTCATGGGTAAGATGGGGAACATTCTGTTGAGTTAGTGTGAAGACTAAATAAATTAATGTGGATAAAATACTTTATGTGCATTAAAAGCCAGGGGCACCCTAGTTAGCTGCTGAAATAATATAAGAAATATAATTTTATTATTACCAAGTTTATAGTTTTTAAGTCTTTCTCCACATCACACCTCTCTTCCTGAGCTCCTGAACCTCTCTTTATCTAGAGGTCTCACATGTAGCCCCTCAAACTCCTCATGCCCAAAGCTGCTCAACAGGTCCTCCCAGGTGGATCCTCCTTCTAAGTCACTATGTGAGTGACCGGCACCACCACCCACCCAGCTGCCTAAACTGAAGCTGCTGGTAGAGGTGTAAACTGGTATAGTCCTTGGGATGGCAATTTGGCAGAATCTATCAAAATTTCAAATGTATACAAATGTATATAAGCTTGATCTGGAAATTATACATCTAAGAATAAATCCTATAGAAATTCTCACGAGTGGCTCGGCACCTGTGGCTCAAGTGGCTAAGGCGCCAGCCACATACACCTAAGGTGGCAGGTTCAAATTCAGCCTGGGCTGCCAAA